TGTGTGTGTGTGTGTGTGTGTGTGTGTGTGTGTGTGTGTGTGTGTGTGTGTGTGTGTGTGTGTGTGTGTGTGTGTGTGTGTGTGGCGGTAGAATATAGACGAGCTCTGTGCATTTGCCGGAGATATATAAATATATATGCAAATGCGCATAAGTGTACGTTGATACGCATACGTATGCGCGGCATCGCGCGCATCCTCCTCTCCTCTCCTCTCCTCTCGCGTTCTCCACAACTGATCGCATCAAGTGCTTGTTTCCATGGTGATTGCTAATCGGGCCGCGTCTCGTGTTCCTATCCTACGCCATTTCCATCTTGTAATACGTCGTTCGTTGTTTCGCGAACAACTCATTATCGAGATTATGCGGTGATTATAAAAATTTCGCATTTTCCAAAGAGAACAGAAGAGAATAGAATGGACGTTTTACGCGGAAGACATCTTACGGATAGTCTTTCATAAGAATCCGTGCTCCCGTTATATCTCTTTATAAGACGGAAATACTTTTGACAATGTCACTTCCGATTCTTTTGCGGGCCGCATCCCGAAGGCATTTCAGCAATGTAGCAAGATAGCAACTTTCTTCATCAATTCTGCAATATATCACGATAGTAGAAATTTAACATTTTCGATCTCGACATAGAAAACCAGAAATATTAAAAGAACAAATTGAGATGATTAATCGTTTTTTGTATTTGATTTTTAAAGATGAGAGAAAAACAGAAGTGAGATAAGACAGATAATATTTATTAATAAATGCGTAAATGAGCAAGATTTAATCAGTAAGATCATTAACGGAGGAGTTGTCCCATAAAATCGTCGTTAGTCAGCGGATTGAAAAAATACGAGTATATCGATCGAGCGGATGTAAAGTAAATTTAAATACAAACGCGTAATAACGCATATATATTATTATTAAGCGTCTACCGTACAATGTTTCAAGCATGCTAACTCAACATGTATACGAGGTGTTGATTTAATCCTGTGAAGCACTCTGATTAATGCGAGTCGTAAAAGTATTATCGCCGATATACGCAACACATTTTCAATGACGTAACCGCGTTATACTTCCGCCAGCATGAGCTTCTGCAAGATAATTATAATCTTCGTCTCAAATGAATACATGTATCGATTATCGCGACGGTGCACAGGTGTACATCGTCACTATTGCCTTCGATCAAACTACAAATTCGTGAAGAATTGCGATTTGTACATCCCGCATACTTGACGACGTACGAAGCTGCAATATTTTTCGATCCGGGAGACTTATTCAAACCAAATCCATCCCGAACAAGCGCGCATCGTGATTGACATTCTCCGAGAATGGAAATCGCTATCGGGAATATATTTTTCATAGATAACAACCAGTCCTTCGCGCGTTTTCATGATGAAGCTTCGAGTCCCGCAAGGCCCAGCTAGCGTTTTCACGACGGCGATTACGGAAATCGAGTCGACCATTAAAAGCCAACCAAACGGCCATTTCTTTCGCTTTTTTCCCGTCGACCGGTTAGCGTAAACGCGTCCATCAAGATGTAGCCTCCGGAGAGGGTGGAAACGGGGAGGGGGAGAGCCCCGGGGGTGACCAAGGGCAGTCCACCTCGGGGCAGGTGTGCGGTTGGCATGACTCCGCCCCTCGTCACCAGCCGTAACTAGGGATGATATCTAACTTCGTCCGCCGTCCTGCTCCCTCTCTCCTAAGCCCTCTGCGCCCGACGCTCCTTTTCAGATACGGTCGTCATGCCTTACGTTTTATCAGCGCGTTACTGCGGCCATTTCAGTGGTAGACGCCATCTTTCCGCGGCACAACCGTGGGCACGCACGAGGGTTGCGCGTTCGCGCGCATCTTTCCATCCAGTTTGTCCCAAAGCCCGCCCGTCCATCCGCTCGCCCGCCTCCTGCGCATCACCACTGTCCCTGTCGTTTGTGGTCGCGCTTAAGTTTAATCAGCCGCGGCTAGACTGGTTTGCGGCCTCTTTGATCCACCCGCTTTCCGTGGCGGTGACCTTGCGAGTCCTCGTGAGATA